TGCCAGACTAACAATTAGGGCCATGTGTACTTGGAGAATAATATAGTTTTTGTAGTTTTGCTTCTCTACAACACTTTGATGGTTTTAAAAGTCACTCAGGGTGTGATCGAAGTGCAGAATTTCAGATTTAATTCAAGGTTTTACAAAAGTATTTCTCACCTGTGTTTAGAAATTATAGCCTTCTGTTTTTAAATGTAACCAGTGGTTTACAGATTGTTGTAAATTCTCTCTATTTACATTCACTCGTTTCCATGGAAACTAGTGTGAAGTCATATCACTTTAATTGCCGCTTTTATTCTCTAAGGCGTTGCTGAGTTGGCCAGTTTATTCCTTACTTTAAGAATGCACCAGATTGTCCATTTAGCCAGTCGTGAAGTTTTTATTGTTGCTCCAATGGTTTTATTTATTTAATCATACGTATGTATATATATGTATTTAGTTTACTTTCTTCACTTGCACTGAATATATTAAGAGTTCCAGTGAGTACTTCAGCACAAGTTCAGCACTTTAAAAGAACTCCAAGTGATTTAAAGTCTTGGAGAGCTCCTCCTCAAAAGCATCAATGCCTCAACTGAATTTTTCACTTGGGGAAGAGACCAAAGTCACAGAGAGCCAAATCTGAGAAGTAAGTCAGGTGAGGAGCAATGATTGTGCTCTGTGCAGGTTCTATCATAGTCTCTAATTTCTAAACCAAATTTAGGAATGACTCTCCACATGACATTTGAGTCAGTTTGACACATTTTTTCCTCACCTAATGGTGAAATTGTAACACACTCCAACAACTGATCAGACCAAGTCTTCAAGGTGGAAATAACAGGAGTGCTGGGAATCGTGCAGCGCTTCATAAGGAGAAGACTTTGAAGGGATTAGCAGTAAAGCTGTTTAATGACACCTACACTAATTTACATTTGTAAAAACGTGTGTTTATGAGCATGTTTGTTTATCTTTGTATGTTACTTGTGGGTATATAATTTCATAAAATCTCACCCTTTTTTTTTTTTCAATTTCTTTTCAGAGGAGCCCAAAGTTGGTATCAAGACAATTAAGATGTACTGTCAGAGGATGCAGGAGGAGAACATCACACGGGCAATTATTGTTGTTCAGATGGGCATGACACCCTCAGCAAAACAGGTAAACATCAGTTTAAAGCAAACGTGATAAAAAGGGAAAGGTTTGTCTCTCGAAATGGATGCTGCAGTGATTGTAAATATACAAATCCCTCACAGTCTCTAGTCGACATGGCACCCAAATATATACTGGAGCAGTTTCTACAGCAGGAGCTGCTGATTAACATCACAGAGCACGAGGTAAGCATCATACTGTCCTCTACATTAAAATCTTTATTTTCAAGTAAGCCTGCAGCGTGTTGTACATTTCTGTATTTGCATTTCTCGCCTGTCTTTCAGCTTGTACCAGAGCACATCGTCATGACAAAAGAGGAAGTGACTGAACTTCTGGCAAGATAGTATCCTTGCACTTTGCGCTGCATGACAGTAAATAAGTTTAGAAGCGTTGAGGTTTGTACACTCGTTGCCCTTAACAATATTACCTCAGTAAATTAAAAGAAAGCCAGCTGCCAAGGATCCAGGCCGGGGACCCTGTGGCTCGTTACTTTGGCTTAAAAAGAGGACAGGTAAGAAATCTTAGAAACTATCATAACTGACAGAATTCAAGAAAATGTGACTAAAGAGGTTTAACTTTTTGCAAGAAATGTTTTGAAACTATGTGCGGGGTTTGTTCTGAAACCTGAGAGACTCGTGATCAACCTGAAACCGGTTTGACATTTGGGGGTATTTAAATTATTTGAATGGTCCCTTTATGCAAACACAAAAACAATGTCTTCTTCTAAAAGCATGAGAGGGATTCATTCATTCATTACGGATGAGACAGCACTATTTTTATCACTTTTTTTTCCCCCATCGCACTGATAGAGACAGCGCTGTGGCAATATATATTAAAAAAAAGCTGCCATTTTGTATCTGCTGTTCCAGGTAGTGAAGATCATCAGACCCAGTGAAACAGCTGGGCGGTACATCACATACAGACTGGTCCAATGACAGGTATGTGCTTCTTTTTACATAACAGCTGATGAAAGAAACTAAGCGATAAAAAGTGCGTAGCAGCTCCTCAAGTTTTAATGTTCTTGGGTTTTGTGTGTTTCCTGAGAATAAGGAAGTATTAAACCACAACATACAAACACAATTTAAAATGCTTTCGGTGCATCTCCAGTCTAAACATTCAAAACAAACTTGAATGATGCTGTAAATTTTCTTTGTTCTGTTTTCTAGTTATTCTCCCTGATCAACGTTTAAGGACCAGTGAAGGAATCTCAGCACGACAGCTTTGGTTATTCATTGTTCAATTATCACCCTGCTTGTATCTTTGACCTGAATTACTGATTTTGTAAAATAAATGATTCAAAATTGAAATGTGCCGTTTTACATTAAGCAACGATTAAGACTCTTACCTTTTTTTTCCTCTTGAATGCCATGTTACTCTTGTTGCTGCTGCTGCTGCTGCTGCTGCTATCGTAGACCTACTTTTGATACCAGTCTCTGCTAACTGAGCCTCAGAGGTTACCGCCTACTGTATTCAACACTTCCTCCAGTTCCCTCGCCCCATTGAGTGCCAGGAGTGACAAAATGAATACATTAAAGACGACATATTCCTCACCACGTTCCCCATTCTAGGAAATAGGTTGCAACTGTGCTCATTTGGTTTAATTTCTCCGTCTTGGTAATTTGCACAAAATGCCAAAAATCAAAAACTACAAACTTAAAACAAGAACCTTTATTAAAACTGACATAAGACAAAAGGCAACATTTATAAGAATGTTTACATGTATTTCAATTTTCGAGCTGAAATAACCAGCAGTGGAATCTGCTTGAAAAGTTTGCACGCGTCACATATTCTGATGCAGCGTTCCCTTCCCCCAAAAAACAAACGCTTTAAAATACAAACAAATCAAATATCTTGAAATGCCAGTAATCCCAAGAGCAGCAAGCGTGCAGAGAGGGTTCACTGGCAGCAAAGATTAGTACAGTAACATACATCTACAGTTTAAAATTTAATTTGACCTATTTACACGGCAGACCGTTAGGCTTTCATTAACTTCAAATTTAAAGACGAACAGACACGATTGACAATATCAGACGAACTCTGGCTCGCTGTCTCGATTTCTCGTCAGTGGTAATTTCTTTCCACAGAGACGTGCCAGTGGAAGGCCCGACAGGCTCAGTGTGGGAGAGCACGGGTGGTAGTTGTTGTTATTGTTGGACTGATTCACGTTGAGCTCTGCCAGAGAAGCACTCAGATCCTGCTCTTCTCCAGCACCTTCTTCTGGGGGCCCGCTGTCTGGCAGAGCGGGGGGTTCTTCTCCCTCTGGGTTTTCCTGATCCTGATCCAGATCTTGTTCAGGCTCGATGTGGATTGCAGACTGACTGGACAGGTCCAAACTGTCCCTGTAGCTCAGCTGGTCATCGTCTATGCTCACGCTCTCCTGCTTCGTAAGGCTGTGGGAGTGCCTCTCGTCCAGCTCAGAGTCAGAGTCTGGGAGCTGCTCACTGGAGCCCAATGACCCCAAAGAGCTTCCTGAATGCAGATAAATAAGTGATAAATGTATATGACATTTTCAAGAGCAAATCATTTACTATAAAATTACACAACTTGGCCTTTAAAACTCACCACATCCCTCCTCTGTCTTGTCAACCTCAGGTTTAGTCTTCTCCTCTCTGCTCGCATCCTCTTCTGCGTCAACAGGGCTCACCATTTTGTCTTGTGTAACATTTTCCTGAAACCAGGAGGGAAAGTGTGAAAGCTTCACAACATGAATTTGTTTTCAGTCAACAGAAAAATGCAAATCTGGTGTCTCTATTAGCCAGACTGATTATGACCAGTTTTGGTATTGCTCGTTAATACCGGGCTGTTTGCAACCTTTAACTCTTTAGACTTTGTTAAAGCAGGTTTCCTGTTCCAATGCTTTAGAGTATGTGTAAAAACAGAGCAAATATTTTGTGCAGTAGTATTTAATTCCTAAAAATGTCTCACAAAAAGGCTCAGCAGTAAGTAAATACTAATGTGCACCGTGTGCTGGAGTCCTACCTGCTGCGTGGAGGCAGCACGGGAGGTTTTGTGGGTCTGAGAAGTTTTGGATTGGAAGATGGAAGAGTAGAAGACTATGAAGGCCTCCACGATGCGAGCCTGATGGGGATAATCAACCAAAGAGGACAGGGATATCGTAGCCCCCGTTGGACGGGGCCGCATCAGAGAGGGCCCAAACACAATGCCAAGGTTGCTGGGGCTCATCTTGTTATCCTGTTCCAGCTCTGCGATCCTGGAATGAGAAAGATGGAGCAAGAAAGGATGGTGAGGTTAACAGAATCTTTGCTTTTTAATAAAAAAATAATATGACTTGTATGACTAACTCACCTTCGAAGGTGACGAACGATGTAGCGCAGTGTGGCGATGTTGGGTTTGGGCAGCTCCTTTAAAAGTTCCCTCAGACTGTCCACCAGGACCAGAACCTCTGGGTCCGTGTCTGGGCCCAGATCCACCAGCTCTGGCCCCCTGCTCACTGCCGGGTGAGTGCTGCTCGACTCTGAGTCCTCCCCCTCCGGTGTGTCTCCTTCATTATGCAGACTCTCCTTTGCCAAACCCATCAGCTTGTTGTACAGATGGAAAGGCATGATGGGCTCAGGCAGCTGGGGGTAAAGGAAAAACACCAAACATATGATGATTGACTTGAGCTTCAGGTTCAGTCTTTACTAGCTGCTACACATCAGTGTAACCTCAGTTACCTGTCTGAGGTAAAGCTTGAGCACGTTGCTTATGTCATGTGGCGAACACTGAGACAACTCGACCAGCTCTTTTCCATTCTCAAAGGCCTGACACAGTTTCTCCACACGGGTCTTCACTCCATTCACCCTGTAGATGCCCTGAAAAGAGGAGAAAGGAGATTTAAACCCAACGGTTCAAAGGCAAACAATCAGAAATCGACCACCCCTTCAAACCACAGCATACGTGCTTTTTCTCACCTTCATCTTCAGTGCCCGTCTCTCGATCTCAGAGATGCACTTGGTGATGATGAAGGGAATACCGTCACTGGCACAGCTGGCTACCTGAGTGAAATCTCTGCCAAACAGCTGCAGACGGCCCTGCAGCTTCTTATGACCACACTGGATCGCCAGAGTTTCCAGACAACGCTTGTGGCACGCCAGGAAACACTGAGAAAACAGTTGATATAATGATTATCATCTTAACCATCGTAGCCTGGGAACAGCTGTAACTTGTGACTAGGTAGAAAAACTTGTGACATCTAATTAGGAAGAACGTTAAAAAAAACAACCAAAAATGATTACAAAGGTGTAATGTGCAATTTCAATAGTGTAGGTAACATAAATAAACTATGCATAATACATAGTTTTAGACATACAAAAAGTTTCTCCCACTGAAAACTCGACGTCTAGATGAACAGAATCAACTTTTTGGAAACCTCTACCGAGCCCATGTTCAATTTCACTGATAAAAAACTTGAACTACAGGTGTTTCACATTTGCAATGCAAAGTAAGGCTGCTTGTTGCAATCAACAGTATTCAAATGAGTATGGTTAATCTTGCTGTGAATCTCAATTATCAGCAAGTGACAGCCACGTGACAGCCAGCTGAATGTTGTACATGTCTATATGTGTTTATAGTCAATCCTCATGTACACACACACACACACACACACACACACACACACACACACTCCATCCCTTAATTATTCCAACATCTGCACCATAAATATGCTATGTGCGCTGTTATTGTCAGTAATGACTGTTGTCTACTCTGTTATATACACTTAGAACAAAGAAACAACCAGAGTTAAATTTCTTGTATGTGTACACATGCTTGGTTAATAAACGTGTGTGTACAAATAAATAAAATTTATAAAAAAAAAATAAAAATAAAAATCACCTGATGGAATAAAATTAGATAACAAGGGCATTAATAAGGGGGTGACACAGTGGCATCACAATTGCCTTACTACATTTCCACTGTATTTATTATGCCTATTGGAAGGAAAACCCCCGATTCAATAGAAAAGATGGTGGAAAAAAAAAATGGTATAAAGATATGAAATTTGTCTGTTATTACATATTCCTGTTACAGTTGTTTGTTGTGGTTTTATTGTCTCTTTGTTTGCAGTTCTTGATATTTTCTTGGAACACTGGAAATTCCAGTTTCCTGTTCTAAAAACAGAAACTGTACCATCTGTTGTAATCAGAGTGACGTGTAGCTTCTTTCAACTAACAAAATAAAATTTTTTTTTAATTCTTTCTTCGGAAATTATTTTTTCTCCCCTCGTTTGCTTTGAGTCATGCTTTACAGTTTATGCTACGTAGTTCCTTATTATTGCTATAAATATACAAGATTGTAACAGTTACAGTGACATCACCTTCTTGTTAATAAAGTTTTGTGATGGGCATTTTGAACTTTGCTAAATTTTCCAACCAGAAGGGACGAGCAAGGTGTGGACTGACAGCTGAGGTCCATTTTACGCACAGTTTTTTGCACTTCCCCCTCCAACCATTGGAAACAATGCAATTTCCACATTGGCTTTACTTCTCAGGGAAGTCCATCCTTTACAGAAAGTCTGAGATGTTCATTTTTAGTGTTGATCATTACATACTGTAATTTACATGTATCCACACTGAACATATTTATCTAACCACTTATGCATTTTTCCTCAGACCATTTGCTATTTTGTGGGGTTCAACATAAAAAGTTAATTATTTTAAGAATACAAAATATTTTACTTTGACATTTGCATATGCTCACTGAACACGCTGACTACTATCATTAAAATGTAGCATGCATCAGCAACACACTGAGCCGATCTAACCACAGCTGGAAGGCTTTCAGTGTGCAACTCAGAGCGTGAGCCTCAAAACATGTTAGCCTGGTGAAGTGATGAAGAACTCACTTCCTCGCACTCAGCTCCCTGGAAATAAACGTAGCTGTCACATTCGCGGCACTTGGAAGGAGTCCGAAGCTTCCTCAGTCGGTGGGTCAAGGCTGCTTTGGACAGGCCGATATTACGGAAAGGTCCGGTGGACACCACCACGTCTGGATCCATGCCGTTAATATCTGCACAGAATAACCCCCATCACACACTCCGCAAAATCCAAACTCAACCGATAGCCAGGTTTAACATGTACAATCTGGAAATCTTACTTTGAGTTTCAAATGAGGACACATTTCCATCTTTTTCATCTGCATCCTCATTGGACGACATCGTTCCAGTCGATGAAGTCCGAACAATCTTAGCGATGTCACCTAAAATAAGTGAGTTTGAGAGCGTTTATAATGCATACTGCCATCTCTGGAGCAGGGTTTTGGTACGGATTAGCGTGAAACTAACAGAAAACGTGTCTACACTCACTTGTGC